TAGAAAAATGTAAAATTGTCCACTGGGATCGTGCCCTCCCCCTCCCATCGCACTTCCTGCACTGCCACTAAGTCTAACTTATAATTCTCTAATTCCCTATTCACTGATTTCAGTGCACCAGCCCTATAGAGGCTCCTAATGTTCCAAGTACCAAATCTTATGTCCTTTTTCAATTGCCGTGGTCGTGCCAAAGAGTCCATCCTAATCTGAGGCTTGGTTAATGTGTTCGTAACAATGCTTTTTTTATTCCAGGTAAAAGGTTGTTAGCCTTACACCCAACCCCCAACCTGGAGGACCAGGGTATCACTCTTAGTCTAGCCCATCGCCTTAGACCTGTCCGGCTTGGGTGACCCTACCATGAGCCGAAGCTCCGGCCGGCATAGCCCTAAGGGTCATTTGAGCACGCAAGCCCCTCCCCCTGCACTGACACTAAATACAACTTATTTCAGTGCCCCAGCTCTACAGAGACTCCTAATGTTCCAAGTTTCAATCTCATATCCTCTTCCAATTGCTGTCGTATCCCGACTCCCAACTGATGGCCTGCGGTGTCGTATCATAAATATGGACACCGCTTCAAGCTCGGATGACGATCCTGGACTGGGCACGCATGGGGGAACGGTGAGTTCTCGGGTGGTAGAAGCGAGAAAGAACAGGGGAGTGTACTCGGCAAACGGTTTATTCCTGGCAAGCCTTCTACGACGGCAATCGTACTCAGGATTCAAGGATCGGACCTGGTATGTGTGTGTCGCGACGTCCGTCATAAATAGCATTGCCGTGATTGTGCCAAAGAGTCCGTCAGGTTCCGAGGCTTTGTTAACTTTTACATAACAATACAGTTTTCACGGTGAAAGGTTGTTAGCCTCACGCCCAACCCCCAAGCTAGAGGGCCGCCCCTTTCGGCTGTCCGTGACGCTTATTCAATGAATTCGAACCTAACCTCCATGACTGGAGGCTGTCCCTGAGGACGCGCCATGCCGTGGTGACAGAAACCCACAGACATGGAGTGTTTGGCTGTACCAGTATTATTCAACTGGGTTTGAGTCTACGCGGAAAGAAGCACTCACAGTAAAAGGACATTTTTTTACAAGAATGGTGATGAACGCATACTGAAACCAGAAAAAACCTTTCAGAATAGAATATTTTAACCTAATGGTACATGAAATCAAACAAAATTTAGAAACCCAATTTGAATCCTTTGCAGAATTTGTTAATAAATTCTGCGGTGTTTTTGAAGTGTCGAACGTAATAAGAATGTCGAAAGAGGACATTTTGAACATTAGACATACTTTATTATGGATATTTCGACAACCAACTTAGGTTAACATTTGTTATAATTTGAAGAGCCAGTGTTACTTTCAGGATTTTGAAACATTGATCAATGAATTAAAAACAGTTCATATTATGAATAAGAATTAGACATGCCAGAATTAACTTGGAGAAATGGAGGAAAATCACTATCGATTCCTGAAATGATCTGTGATCGGTAGTTGTTGTGGTAATCAAGCAGAGTCTAAAATATCATCCATAATCACTCTTCCGCCTAACAGTGTGCCCCGTTAGAAAAAGAATTTGACCTGACATAATATTTTACTTGAACTTGAAAGGCCTTGAATAAAATCCCGACGACTGCTAGACCATCCTCGGTTCTTCTCGGTTGCTTCAACGAAAGAGGAGAGATTGCTTAATAATTCGAAAACCTAAAATGAGTTACGGGGATTCATTTTGAATGGAAAACATCAGTTTAAGAATAAACACCAAGATTCTGTGTAAATGATACCCGTTACATTTCTCCTCATTAAAGCAACCGAGAAAACAGGATATAATTTGCTGTTCACTCTGACATAGACGTAACTTGAATTTTAATACTTAATTCATGCACGTAAAATTGTACAAAACATTAATTAAACCCTTGTTGTATTACTTTCGAGTGTTCAAGAACTCCTCTGTGGTTTGTAACATGGAATACAGCCAGTTAAGAATTATAGCTTAGACCACGGTATTTCCCGAACTCACCAAAAACATTAATTTCACACCTTTCGTTTGACGTCACATAATATTAGCAGCCGTTAATAATCAATTTATTGATTGATGAGGGCGTCTGGTTGGTTACTGCTCGCCCCGCAGAACGAACTAATGTTTACACCCTTTCGGCTAGAATTTGTGTGTGATGGGCAACTTCCCCTGAAGTTCATTACAATTGATTCAGAAGGTTATCTGCCTCGCCTTTCTTTAGTGTCGTCACCAGCGTGGAAGGCAGTTGGCGTAAACTTATCAATTAATATGCCACTCTATTTCCCCTATATATATATATAGTATATCACCAGCATACAGATACTGCCGAGAGCCACAAGGTTGCCGTGGTTAGAGTGAGGGGTTCGACCTCCGTCCCTACTGTTATTAGGAAGATACGATCAAAGACACTTTTCGTCTTTGATTAACTTTCACGGTTACAACCTCCGCCAATGAAAAGCTGTGAGGGAACAACTGAAGGTTGTGATATTAGAGGTTCTGACGGCGGTAAATATAAAGATGGCTGTCTTCTGGGTTGTTGCCCCGTGTAGTCTGGTAGAAGTTTACCAAAGTTTCAGAGGAGCTTGCTGGCTCAGTCATCAGGGTTATATAAGTCGCCATGATGATTTAGGCAATACATACGTTAAGGGTATTATTT